GAAACGCAAAGCTCCAAGCGCTAACTGGCAGTCATTGTAACAAAGCTTTCTATTGGTCGGTAAACTTTCTATCGCGCAACCACGTGACATACACGGTTATGAATAGAATTACCGCACGGTGTTGTAGAGGGAGGAATGTCCGAACAGAGCAACACCGTGCAGGCGGACGATGCTAAATCAGTGGTGATACATTTTCCAATATACTGTAAAATGACTAATTTATGAAATATGATGCTTCATTTTCACCTAAATCAGTGGTGATATGTTTTCCAAAATACTGTAAAATGACTAATTTATGAAATATGATGCTTCATTTTCACCTAAATCAGTGGTGATACGTTTTCCAAAATACTGTAAAATGACTAATTTATGAAATATGATGCTTCATTTTCACCTATTAAAATCAGTGGTGATACGTTTTCCAAAATACTGTAAAATGACTAATTTATGAAATATGATGCTTCATTTTCACCAAAATCAGTGATGATACATTTTCCAATATACTGTAAAATGACTAATTTTCACTGGGTTTAAATTTCGCTGATTCACCATTTCAAGCGTATTCAGTGGGTTTTAAATTCACAGTTTTATCATTTAGATAATGTGTTCTATGCTAAATTTTACATATTCACTGGGTTTTAATTTAGCGCATTTTCCAGTCAGCGAAATAAGCTAAATTAAAACTCGGTGAATAATTAATCCTTTTACAGTATTGTTGTAGGTACATGTACTTTCTTTATATATATTAATTTGGACAATAAATCTAAATCCACATTTAGCATTTCAGGCATATTCAGTGGGTTTTAAATTCACAATTTTATCGTGTGGATAATGTGTTCTATGCAGGATTTCTTTAGCAGTCAGGTTAGTTTTCGCGATCACGCTTATAGGACTAAGGAAACAATTAATTATTTCTTTTTGTGAAACAAAAAAAAAGTCACGACTTTGCCAGTCTAAGATTAAATAACTGATATACATGTATGATAATGTTTTTCAGTCAGCAAAATAAGCAAAATTAAAACAGAGTTAATTCTTTTACAGTATGCAATTATGCAAATAAAGATGTTTGTTTTCAATCTAGATTATTGGTTGTCAATCTGAAGTTAATAATGCTATGCAGATGTGTGTTGATGCTGGGAAGATTGAAGACTTTGAATTACAAGACACAATATGTGATGGTGTAGCTGGAGGTGTCGAGACAAATAGTGTATGTATAAATTAGATTAGATTAGAATAGAATCTAATAGATTATAATAGAGTAGAATAGAATAGAATAGAATTTAATAGAATAGAATAGAATAGAATAGAATAGAATAGAATAGAATAGAATAGAATAGAATAGAATAGAATAGAATAGAATAGAATTTAATAGATTAGATTAGAATAGAATAGAATAGATTATAATAGAATAGATTATAATAGAATGGAATAGAATAGAATAGATTTCAATAGATTATAATAGAATGGAATAGAATAGAATAGAATAGAATAGAATTTAATAGAATAGAATAGAATAGAATAGAATTTAATAGATTAGAATAGAATAGAATAGAATAGATTTTAATAGATTATAATAGAATGGAATAGAATAGAATAGAATAGCAAATCCCCTGAACAGAACAAAATATGATCAATCAATGATCAATTATACAAATGTATTCATAACATTACATAAAACTGACTTCTACTTTGAGGTTGTTGATAATATAACCGTATTATAGTTATGCATATTAATGAGATCATGTGACCATATATGCTTACAAAAAATGTTAGTCATATCTCTTTCCCTTAAAGGGGCACCTTCCAGTTAAGCCTAATCTCACAACAAATTTACTTTCTGGATTAAAATTACAATGGATAACAAAAGATAGATTAACTTTGTAAATAACATAAATAATAGTGTCCCATGATTCTTTGGTGCAATCCCTGGGCTTGGAAGGTTTCCCTTTAAAGTAATTGATAGGTAAAATAGATTAACCTTCATTGGAGTCATGATTAACATTTACTATGCAAATTAGGCTATTAATATGCACAAATGTACATCACACAATAATCAGATAGCACATTTATTGAAACTAAACTTCAATGTAGAGATGACACAGGATCAACACAACATGGGTTGGAAGGTCTGCCACATTCATTATTTTATCATTAGCTTTTTTCTTTCCAAAGTGACCTTTGACATATGCAAATCACTTTTTTCTCTTGAAGGTGACCTTTGACATATGCAAATCACATTTTTTCTCTTCCAAGGCGACCTTTGACATATGTAAATCATTTTATTTTCTCTTTCAAGGTGACTTTTGACATATGCAAATCAAATTTTTTCCTTTCAAGGTGACCTTTGACATATGCAAATCATATGTAGATAAATGGATCACATGTTCAGAGGAGGCAACAGCAAAAGGTGTAATGTTTATGATGGAGCATCATCATAGAGTAAGTGTTGTACTACAACAGTCTTCAATTCTTGGGGGGAAATCTACTTCACAGATTGTTCTATTAAAGCGAGAAGGTCGTCACCTGCACACACGGAAATTGGGTCCCGAGCGTTGATGACAACACACACTAAGAACGCAAAGGCTCATGGGTAGACGCTTGTTTGTATACAATGACACGCTATGGCCACCTGACACATGTGTAGGTGACGACTAGCTCCCTCGCTTTAAAGCTGCTAAGACCTGCACCACTGTACCATGTATTTCTATGGGTTCTGCACGAGCTGCTGTGGAACGCCGGTTGAAGAGCCGGTGAAAACAGCTAAAGAAAATGGCATAAACACAACTTTGAACTAATTCTGAGGAACCAAATTTAAACATGTTGAAAAAGCGACATGCAATTTTAGCGAATTGTGGTAAAATGACGTAATAGCGAAACGTTGATTTAGCGAATCTCTCTTGTCATTGTTGATTTCCTGTTTTCACAATACTTGTCTGTCGCGCGCCAAAACAAATGCAGTTATCACCTCCATAAAAACAAAAAAAACTGTCAAGTGTAATTAGGAAGCGCCCCAGATTTTTTTATGTTCTGGATTACTGTATACAAATCCCCAAGCCTTGGCCATTTTGAATTTATAATAAAGTCATTAACGACATCTTGAATTAGGGAATCAGTTCTCTCCTTAAATTCTCGAAAAAGTCATGCTCGCGATAAGACATGTTTTACAGTATGTTGCAGTGTCCAGTGTACAATTGCCTGTGAGTTTTCCATCATTGTCATCATGTTTACATAATCAACCATTTTTGTAACTGTAAAGTATATTTAAACAAAATTTTGGCATCAAAAAATATATAAGGAGTCAATCATTCGTATTCATGGGGGGGGGGTGAAATTGGACCCATGGAGCTGGGAACAGCCACTGGTGGCGCTGTATACAATCAAGATCTATCGAGGCTTGCCTTCGCTCATGTAGACTTGAGTGTAAAACGCAGAAATAGTTGTTAAATATGGTGACCAGTTTCGTATGATAGAAAGCGTTTACAGTTTTCAAATAACTACAGTGGGGGGGGGGTAAGACTGAATTTATGATTCCGGCGTTTCTTTCAAAAAATATTCATGAGATATGTCTACGTCATAAACTCGTTAAAGGTCATTAGCATATTGTGTACGCAGTGCGCATGCTTCGGGCTCCTTTTCCATATTTCACAACGCATACACATCACAGTGAGGTCAATTGAAGTTTGCGTTTTATGCAACGTAACATTCAGCATCACCAATGCGGTTTCACAACATTGGTGGTGCTGAACGTTGTGTTCGTATTCGAAGCCTACACATATGCATTGCTACCAGATATATACAACAGTTAACAAGCCACACCAACCCAGCGACAACTGAGGATTTGTACACATGCACTCCCACCATGTCATACACTGTAATATGCAATGACAATTCAGGTTTCCCCATAACACTGGATGAGTGTGACCAATGTATTTTTTTATTTACGGTAGTGGCGTCCTTATCTGTACATTTTTAGTTTTCTTGTTTGTGCAAACAGTTCCTTTTCTTGTGATTGTAATAATCAACTTTACACAACATTCCCTGTGTGAATATGTCTGTCTGTCTGTGTGTGTGTGTGTGTGTGTGTGTCTGTCTGCGTGTGTTGCTGGTTATTGAAACATCTTGTTTTACCAGTTATTACATTGAAACATATTTTTCTTGTGACTGCATGTAATAATCAACCTTACAACATTCCCTGTGTGTATGTGTCTGTCTGTCTGTGCATGTCTGTCTGCGTGTTTTGCTGTTAATTGAAACATCTTGTGTTTTACCAGTTATTATATTGAAACATATTTTTCTTGTGACAGCATGTAATAATCAACCTTACAATATTCCCTGTGTCTGTCTGTGTATGTGTGTGTCTGCGTTGCTGGTTATTGAAACATCTTGTGTTTTACCAGTTATTACATTGAAACATATTTTTATTGTGACTGTAATAATCAACCTTACAGCATTCCCTATGTGTATGTGTCTGTCTGTCTGTGTGTGTCTGTCTGTGTGTGTGTGTTGCTGGTTATTGAAACATCTGGTGTTTTACCATTGAAACATATTTTTCTTGTGACAGCATGTAATTATTAACCATACAATATTCCCTGTGTCTGTCTGTGTATGTCTGTCTGCATTGCTGTTTATTGAAACATCTGGTGTTGTACCAGTTATTACTTTGAAACACATATTTCTTGTGACTGCATGTAATAATCAACCTTACAACATTCCCTGTATATCTGCATTGCAGGTTATTGAAACATCTGGAGCTCTACCCATTGCAGCATTTCTATCTGTGGCAGATGAATACAAAGACAAGAATGTTGTATTGGTGATATCAGGATGTAATATTTCCATAGATAAAATAAAGTACATACTAAATGAGTATCACAATTCCTGAGTTCATTTTTGTTCTCAGGTAAGGTACTGTAAAATACTTTATTCTAGCTGAAGTTAATTTTCACTGAGTCAGGAGAGATAACAGTGACATACAATGTCCGGAACTGTTGCCTGGTACAAAAACATTTAAAAAAAAAAAAAAAACTTTTTGGGTGTTTTGTATGGAATTTATTTTCACCGACTTCTGTCGAGTTGAATCTACAGAAAGAAATGGTATATTTGCTGGATTTTATTTTCGATTGATCATTCCTTCAGGGAAAATAAATTATTTTACAGTATGGAGCTCATTGGTAACCATGGGAACTCGTGTACAACATTTATATGACATTGGTTAGATTACACTTTGAGTGCACTAACAAAGTCTTGTAATTAGTATAACTTAAATGCAAATGGCCGACGATCTTGTTCAAACCGAGAAGTTCTAAGCGGCGTGTTTTTGAATTCACCTTTTTATGGAGTTTTGCACAGATTCAACATTCTGATCAATAGCACAACAGCCGCTCATCTTAAAACCGCTAGTAAATATTCAGAAAATAACAGAAAATGAACTTTCAGTACTTGCTATTTGCATCTTTATATACCAGTAGAACAGAAAACTGTGTGAAGACGGCCTTCTAACGTTTGATTGTGAATAGTGATACTTACCCCGGTACTCTCGCATTATGGCGTCCACTGATGGATTATTAGAATAGACAAAACGTGATTGTCTCACTCTGAACGAGATCTCGGCGGCCATTTTCATCTAAGGGTTACTGAAAAATAACTAATTTTCCCTGCCTTTAAATTTCAATGATTTAGCATTTCAAGCAGTGGGTTTTAAATTGACAGTTTTATCATTTAGATAATGTGTTCTATGCTAAATTTTACATTTTCATTGGGTTTTAATTAATTTATCGCATTTTTCAGTCAGCGAAATAAGCAAAATTAAAACCCAGTGAATAATTAACCCCAACAGTATTGACAATTTATCACTTGCAGCGTCTCATAGAATTCTAAATTATATGTCATATAATCCACTATGTTATTTAGGCATTTCGTGGGTAGTAGATGGGACTTGTATAAACAAAGATGGCAACTTTGACTGTTAGGCAGAACAATAGGGTACAAACTAAGATGTTACCAAGCTTTGAATAAGTAATTGCTTCGGTGATCGGAAGCTATCAAATCGTACAATACGTACGGTAGTGTACGTCCCACCTGCGAGATATGTGACTCATATAAACAAAGATGGCATCTTTGACTGTTGCACAGAACAATAGGGTACAAACTGAGATGTTACCAAGCTTTGAATAAGTAATTTCTTCGGTGATCGGAAGCTATCAAATCGTACAATACGTACGGTAGTGTACGTCCCACCTGCGAGATATGTGACTCATATAAACAAAGATGGCGACTTTGACTGTTACGCAAAACAATAGGGTACAAACAGAGATGTTACAAAGCTTTGAATAAGTAATTTCTTCGGTGATCAGAAGCTATCAAATCGCACAATACTCACGATAGTGTACGTCCCACCTTGGTTAAAACTTGTGCTCATAATTTACATTAGAAGAGCACATTGCATTGTGGGAAATTAATGTTTGTCAACACAAATGTTGTACATGTGCGCTCTAAAGACCACTGCCCTTTAAACCCCATATGCAGTGAACCAGATGTGAATGAGCCAACAAGTTGTCGACCTCACAAGCACAAGAAACACAAATGTTTTTTTCTGATGATACATAATGTTATATTTTACAGAGTTCTGGTTGCTAATTAATATTCATGAGGTCATTAATATTCATGAGCTAATTAATATTCATTTTGCTATCCTACTAGTTATGATTTAACTACTTTAATAATTAATTTTTCTTTTTAAATATTCCAATGTAAAAGTAATCTGTTTTGACAAAAGATGAAACTTTATTTTCACATCTAAAATGCATTATTTGAGACAATGACCTCTGACCTGTCAGCCATTTTTTTTTCAAAGCATGTCAAAGTGGAAAGTGTTTTCTTTTTTAATAGGATGCTGGTATGTGGATTTATAGTATAATATTTAAAATAAATTTAAAATACAACTTTATAATAATAAAGCTTTAGTATCACACCGTAATGAAATTACAAATTCAATTTTGGCTGAAAGTTTTAAAATGTAAGGTAAAAAACAGAACATTAAAATAACATAAGATTAGGCAGTAAAAGTTAATGCAGTTTGTGTTTTTCAAAACACGCTTTCAAATACCGTGTCTAATTAGTTTAGGATGGTTAGTATGAATAAATTAATTAATTGTTTTTAGCCTTGAAAGTGAGATTTCTTCGGTAAATTCAGTGTACACAGTATCGCTTTCATCAGTGTAGTAGCTAGTCTGTAACGATATAAACTTCATCTTCAATATCGTATTGCTTTGTCTTTAATGTGGTTGGTATAAATAATTTCTTGAGGGAGGCAAACAATAATTGGGGATTTTCCGTAAAGTTGCGAGATCTCGCGAGATGCATGAAAGACGCGCGTCGAACGTCTGCCGCAAAAATCGAACGATTTGATTTTGAACTAGAATTTCTTTATTTCGTAACTCACATCGACCGGCCGATCTTCGACAGAGGAATATTGCTTCCGAATACCCTTACTTAATCGAAATTGTCTATCATCAAATGTGGACAGCACATTATTAAGCATGGAAATGTCCCCCAAAATACTTTCGCGTTTGTCGAATCCCACGCGATGTTTGACGCCACTACGACGCTATGACCTTTGTTTGTCCTGTTTTTACGTTCAATTTCACGCATAACGCGTGATTCTCGCAGTGAACGAAAAATGGTCTATTGTGTTATATTTGTGTATTATATCTATATTTTTATGTCAATTATTTTTTTTCTTAAATATGGATGTGCTTTATTTTCTCTAGTAAATGTATTGTATTTAAAAAAGGAAGATTACTGAATAAATAAATAAATGTAAAAAAAATATATATATTTCTATTATAAGTGAGATGCTGAATTGATGGAGTTACGAAAAAATTGAGTTACAAAAATGACCACGTCAGAAGCCACACCCGAATTGTAAGTTGAACTTTAACAGTTAATCGAACTTAAAGTTACAGGCAACATATATTTTTATTTTTGTTAAGCATCCACATTTAGTAACTCAAACTTTGAATTTTGTTTAAAGCGCGGTGGTCGTCGCACAACGCGTGTTCGAATTTCATGTAAATAAACAATGTATTTTACACGCGTTGTATACGTTGCTACGAGTCCCATATCGAACAGGATGCAGCATGACAACTGCCGCCCTTTAAAGTTCAAATTTACTAACTCGAATTTTAATTATCAGTTAACCGAACTTCAAATTATGGGAAAAATACAATTTTAAACAAAATAAAAAATATATGTTGCCGTAACTCGAAGTTCGGTTAACTGTTATTTAAAGTTTGCAAAAGTGGGCATGTGGACACTAGTTACGAGTATAACCCTGACCTTAGATGTCAATGGCCGCCAAGATGCCGTTGAGAGTTACACCACCTCAAAAAGTGTTTCATTCCTTCACTTCATCACGTCCACAGTTCAAAATATGATAAATAAGTCAGAGGAACAGTTGTCGAGGGGAAAATGGAACACTATTCAAGAAAAAAACAAGCCTTAAGATTCATTTACTGTCGATGAGATCTCGGCGACCATTATTGTGTCAAAAGTTTATTTGAACACCAATTGCAGTGCCCAATCATTAGATTCTCAGTATAGCACACAAACACATACATTCCGATTCAGACACCAAATAGCTTAGCTAAACTAAAACCAAGCTTTATAATGTTGTCAATTATTGAGCATTACAACCATGCCTCCATACACTGTGCATTGCAGTATGAAACAATGACCGTTACAAGTTGGTAACAGGTTAGTTACATAATTAAGAAAACAGTTATTAAAAAATTAAATTGTAAAATATATTGATAAAAGCTAAAAAAAAGTCTGAAATGGTTAATATGAAAAGTTCCTAACACTCAATAGTGTAGCAACATTTGGCAAGAAAAGTACTAGCTAACATGTTTTTCAATTAATACATATACTGTATTAATCTCAATGTCCCTTATAGAATAATATTACATGGATTAAATACAATTTCCCAATTAATAGTGCAGTAATATATAAACAAAATAAACTATCAGCTAGATTTTAAAATGGCAGGAAACAATGCCCTTGTCATAATTTTTCATATTTATGAAATATTACTAACATCTCGGTATAACAATTTTTAATATTTAATTTCACCCCATATCTTGAACATAGCACTTGCTAGTTACGCCAAAATTGAAGTTTGGTTGACATTTCATAGCAATTCACAAATATGAAGATGAGCAGATAAAAATTGTTTGACTTTATAACCATCATTTTCATTCACGCAGGATTTCGGCGGCCATTTTGATTCTCACAGGATTTTGACAGCCATTTTTACACACACAGGATTTTGACGGCCATTTTCACACACACACACAGGATTTTGACGACCATTTTCACAAATACAGGATTTTGACAGTCTATTTTCACTCACACAAAATTTCGACGGCCATTTTCACACACACAGGATTTCGACGGCCATTTTCACACACAGGATTTCGACGGCCATTTTCACACACAGGATTTTGGCAGCCATTTTCACACACACACAGGATTTTGGCAGCCATTTTCACTCACACAGAATTTTGGCACCCATTTTCACATACACAGGATTTTGGCAGCCATTTTCACTCACAGGATTTTGGCAGCCATTTTCACACACACAGGATTTTGGCAGCCATTTTCACACACACAGAATTTTGGCAGCTATTTTCACTCACACAGGATTTTGGTAGCCATTTTCACACACACAGGATTTTGGTAGCCATTTTCACACACACACACAGGATTTTGGCAGCCATTTTCACACACACAGAATTTTGACGCCCATTTTCACACACAGGATTTTGGCAGAAATTTCACTCACACAGGATTTTGATGGCCATTTTCACACACACACACAGAATTTTGGCAGCCATTTTCACACACACACAGGATTTTGGCAGCCATTTTCACACACACAGAATTTTGACGCCCATTTTCACACACAGGATTTTGGCAGAAATTTCACTCACACAGGATTTTGATGGCCATTTTCACACACACACAGAATTTTGGCAGCCGTTTTCACACACACATAATTTTGGCAGCTATTTTCACTCACACAGGATTTTAACTGTCATTTTCACACACAGGATTTTGACTGCCATTTTCACACACAGGATTTCGGCTGCCATTTTTACACACACAGGATTTCGGTTGCCATTTTCACACACACACAGGATTTTGGCAGCCAGTTTCACTCACACAGGATTTTGACGGGCATTTTCACACACACAGGATTTCGGCGGTCATTTTCACACACAGGATTTTGGCAGCCATTTTCACACACACAGGATTTTGACGGCCATTTTCATACACACAGGATTTCGGCTGCCATTTTCACACACATAGGATTTTGACTGCCATTTTCACACACACAGGATTTCTGCGGCCATTTTCACACACACACAGGATTTTGACAGCCATTTTCACACACACACAGGATTTTGACAGTCATTTTCACACACACAGGATTTTGACAGCCATTTTCACTCACACAGGATTTTGACAGCCATTTTCACTCACACAGGATTTTGGCAGAAATTTTCAAATCTATTGTTTCCTGATACTGATTACAAAGCAAGTCGTACATTTAAAAAGCATGCCAATAAAAATACTGATAGTAATACAGATCAGCTTGAAAAATGCAATTTTTTTTAACAATTCAAAACTTAATCTATGTAAATTGACTGACAACAATTCCTGAATTACTGTAATTTAATTTGTTTTATACATGCATAACCTAACTAGTAATTTTACAAATTTTACAAGACATGAATGTCAAAGTCCCTGCTACTTAATACATGTAGCTTAGATCATAGAGGACAAAAAATTTAAAAATATAAATACATAAAATATATCAAATAAACTATCAACTTAAGAATGATTTTTGAAATTACTGAGAAAAAAGTAAAACGACAAAAAAAACAATTCCTGAGTGCAAGTGTCTTGCTAATCTAAATTTGATCATTTTATGGCTGCAAAGATCTTATTGAGAGAGCCATACGACTTTTTCATCCCCTCAAATCGTATCCCATTCTCCCCCGCGATTGTGTTGATTACCATGGTTACACAAGTCAGGGGAACAGTGGACTTAATGACGGGGGAGAATGAGGTACTATTTGAGGGGCAGAAACAAGTCACATGGCTCTCTCACTCTTGATGAGATCTCAGCGGCTATTCAAATACACGACATGTAGAACAGCTCATGAAAAAACAAGACAATTACCATGACTACAGCAAATATTATGGGATAACCTCATTATAAATGAATTCAATTAAAAAAGTGGCAGGTCTCAAGTAATCATAAACACCAGTACTAGTACTATGTGGGTTTTTGGTCATTCATAAAGTCAACCCGGCATTGACCAGAGGAACAGTAGACTTGATGACGGGGGAGAATAAGACATTATTTGAGTCGTTAAAAACAAGTCACATGACCATCTCAGTGAGATCTCTGCAACTGATTTAAAAGACAAGTTTCAGAGCACATCGACGAAGTAGGACGTAACTACTTCAGAATCATCTTGAATCCCACATTTATGTACTAAAGTCTTGTAACACATTAAAAACAAAACAAAAAAGCAAATGTTCTTGAAATGAATGACCTCCAATCTCTGAACCAGTGGCATAGCAAGCAAAGCATTTGAACTCATCTATACATACATGTATGCACATTTCCATTAACATTTTTTTTTTTTTTTAATTTCTTTCTGTAAGACCCTTTTTATCCTTTCCTAAGGATTTTAAGCTTCTAATAAAAAATAAATAAATAAATAAATGCACGTTCAACTGCATGTACACTGCTCAGCACGTAACGAGCTCCAAACTCATTTGCATAAACCTTCGATGCAATTATTATACGAGAAACATTACTTTAAAACATTCTTTGTTATTATCTTGTTTTTTGAATTCTCAAACCTCTGCAGTTGAATGCTGTTCCCAATCAGGCCCGGTCGTTGTACCTCAGTACGTCTAGTCTGTGGTGGACAGTAGATAAAGCCGTAATCCTGTCGATCAGGATGTCTTTCAGACATATGCTCAGACAAGTGAACTGTCCACGCAAACTGCATGCCACATTCTTCACATTTGTATGGTGTCTCACCAGTATGAGTTTTCATATGGTTGAAATAATTATAATTATCCAAACTTTGCCCGCATTTGTCACAGTGTATGACATGCATCGTGTGGACCTGTGCGATCGTGTGGACCTGTGCATGTTCTTCGAGAGAATGTTGCTGTGGGAACGTAATGTTACACACCGTGCAAGTATATTCAGGCTTGGCATCTCGTTCGTTTCTTTGTGATTGAAAATTAACAGAGACGCAACCTTGGATATCGTGTTGTACATTGGTAGAGACAGGTATATTACTTGCTTGTTGCTTGTCACAGGAAAAATGCTTCATGGTTTTGTCATAGGTACTGTTGCCATGCGTCTTAAACAGTTTCTCAGCTGTTTCATGAATGGTTTGCTGCCTTACTTGTTCTTCGCTGTTAAATGTGTTTATAATATCGCATTCCGATCGTTTTTCTTTCCTTCCATCCGGTATTTGCTCATTTCTATTGTGGTTGACATTAATTTCTTTGCCAATATTATCTTGAATACCCACAGTCTGTTGTGCACTGGAACCACTTGAAGCTATCTGTTCAGGATTTGATTCATTGAAAATTTGGTGTCGCTGATGATGCATCATCACGGTATGTTCATCTGTGAATACTTTATCACATTGTTTACATTTGTACAATTTACCAGTGTGCTTTCTCATATGCAAATCAAGCCCGATTTGCTTACTATACTTCTCCCCACACTCTTTACATTCAAACATTTCAAGCAATTGCGAACTTTCGTCTGGCTTTGTCCACTCCACTTTTCGTTTTAACTTCTTTGCATGCTGCTGTTTAGTCGGTTTCTTGATGCACCTCTTTCGCTTGATATGCCTTAATGAGTGAATTGCCCGTTGATGGTCCCAGGCAGCACGGATGGTCTCAAATCTTTTCAGACATTTATCACATTTGTACGTTTTCTCCGCAATACAGGTCCTCAGTGACGACAACGATTTGTTATTAATGCGTAAAGTAATTCCGTAATTGGAACCACTTTTTTTGCAGCTTTGTAACTGATTACTGTAATCGTCAACTCTTGACGAACCATCGTCATTTAAAATTTTCCGATTTGCATGTTTGGTATAATTTCTATGACATTTATGGCCTTGTATCGTTGAAGCTTTTTCATTTGTGAATAGTTTACCACATTTCTGACATGCATGTAACTCCCCAGTGTGCTTTTTCATATGCAAATCAAGCCAGATTTGTGTACTGTATATCTCCCCACATTCTGTACATTTGAATGTTCCGAACCGCCAAGAACTTATTGCACGTCTTTTCTGCTGCACAAATCTGTTGGAACTTAAACTAGAGCACTTTTGATTTGTATTTCTGATGCAATTTTTTACGTTGGATTGCTTATTTGTGTTAATTTCCCGATGATTCCAGGCAGCACCAAATTTTCCATGGGATTCATCACTAAGATATGGTTTCCCAGCATTAGGGGTCTTCGCAGACTTGTGATTGGATGAACCCAGTCCATTTTCATTTATCTTTATAGACTCTATGTGTACCTTAACATGTTCATCCAAAGTACTTTCTCGAAGGAACTTCGTAGAACAATTTACTAATTCATTTACACTTGGTCTTGCAGGTTCTCCTGTTTTGTTTCGAAATCTAAATTTTTTATCCTTGACTATCAGATCATCAGCAGAATCTGTTTCCTCATCTGCGGATTTACGTCCTTCAAATGTGAGACGATCCGTTGCATGTTCGTCTGTCATTATTTTCATTTGCTTTCCATGTTCACTTGCGTTTTCTTCAGTAGAACTAGGATTATCCAAGACTTTTTTTTTATTACTACGTTCTGCAATTTTTAGTAATCCATCTGAAGTTCGTTTCGTGTTTCCTTCTTTAGTACAATTTCTACGACAATAATGATTCTGAATAGTTGCTGTGTGTTTATTTGTAAATACTTTGTCACATTTTTTACACTTGTATAATTCACCAGTGTGCCTCTTCATATGCAAATCAAGCCAGCCTTGCTTAAGGTACTTTTCTTCACATTGTGTACATTCTAATAGTTCAAGCAACTGGGGACTTGCATGTTTTTTCAGTTCCACAAATTTATTGCAACTTTTCATTGGTTGTTTTTGACGTTGTTTATCAACATAATTATTTTTCGTATACAGGTCAGTCATGTGAATAGTCCTGTGATTGTAGAGAGCGAGACTGTTAATAAAAGAAACACCACACACATCACATTTAAATGACTTCTCTGCTGTTTGCGCCCTTGGAAGATCTATTTCACGTCTTTTTTTCAGACATCTACTTTTTTCTCTGTGTTCATCCAGTGCACCAGGGTTAGTAAATATTGTTGTACATCTCTCACATTCCCACAGTTCACCCGTATGATTCTTCATATGGTGATGCAGATAGACCTCTGTATCAAATCGTTCTCCACAAAGCTGGCACTGGTGTTCACCCGTTGATGTATCCTGGATTTGATGCTCTTTACAGTGAATCTCCATCAATGTCTTTGTGGTGAATACTTCTCTACACTGCGTACATATGTATAATTCATCAGTGATTGGTCTCTCTGGGCTTATTAAGTGAGATTTGTCATTTACAGTAGTAGGGAAATTATAGAAATGTTGATTTCTTTCATGTTCATTGTCCAAACGATCATCAACATGTTGTTCATTGCTTAAATGGTCATCGACATGTTCATTGCTTGAAAAATCAACATGTTCATTGCCCAAATGATCATCAACATGTTGTTCATTTCTTAAATGGTCATCGACATGTTCATTGCTTAAAAAATCAACATGTTCATTGCCCAAACGATCATCAACATATTGTTCATTGCTTAAATGATCAACAGGATTTTCATTGCTTAAATGGTCATCAACATGTTGTTCATTGTTTAAATGGTCATCAACATGTTGTTCATTGCCTAAATGGTCATCAACATGTTGTTCATTGTTTAAATGGTCATCAACATGTTGTTCATTGCCTAAATGGTAATCAACATGTTGTTCATTGCCTAAATGGTCATCGACGTGTTGTTCATTGCCTAAATGGTCATCAACATGTTGTTCATTGCCTAAATGGTCATCAACATGTTGTTCATTGCCTAAATGGTCATCGACGTGTTGTTCATTGCCTAAATGGTCATCAACATGTTGTTCATTGTTTAAATGGTCATTAACATGTTGTTCATTGCCTAAATGGTCATCAACATGTTGTTCATTGCCTAAATGGTCATCGACGTGTTGTTCATTGCTTAAATGGTCATCAACATGTTGTTCATTGTTTAAATGGTCATCAACATGTTGTTCATTGCCTAAATGGTCATCGACGTGTTGTTCATTGCCTAAATGGTCATCAACATGTTGTTCATTGCCTAAATGGTCATCGACGTGTTGTTCATTGCCTGAATGGTCATCGACGTGTTGTTCATTGCCTAAATGGTCATCAACATGTTGTTCATTGCCTAAATGGTCAACATGTTGTCCATTGTTTAAATGGTCATCAACATGTTGTTCATTGCCTAAATGGTCATCAACATGCTGTTCATTGCCTAAATGGTCATCAACATGCTGTTCATTGCCTAAATGGTCAACATGTTGTTCATTGTTTAAATGGTCATCAACATATTGTTCATTGCCTAAACGGTCATCAACATGTCGTTCATTGTTTAAACGATCATCAACATGTTGTTCATTGCCTAAATGGTCATCAACATGTTGTTCATTGCCTAAATGATCATCAACATGCTGTTCCTTGCCTAAATGGTCATTGACGTGTTGTTCATTGTTTAAACGATCATCAACATGTTGTGCATTGCTTAAATGGTCATCAATATGTTGTTCATTGCCTAAATGGTCATTGATGTGTTGTTCATTGATTAAACAATTATCAACATGTTGTTCATTGCCTAAATAGTCATCGACATGTTGTTCATTGATTAAATGATCGTTGACATAATGTTCATTGCTTAAATGGTCATCGACATATTGTTCATTGCCTAAATGATCAACAGGTATTTCATTGCTTAAACAATCATCAACATGTTCATTGCTTGAATGGACATTGATGTGTTGTTCATTGTTTAAATGGTCATCAACATGTTGTTCATTGCTTAAATCAACATCAGCATGTTGTTCATTAGATGACTGACCAATGACATGTTGTTCATTAGATGAATGACCGATACCATGTTGTTCATTAGATGAATGACTAATGGCATGTTGTTCATTAGATGAATGACCAATGGCATGTTGTTCATTAGATGAATGACCAATGGCATGTTCATTAGATGAATGACCAATGGCATGTTCATTAGATGAATGATCAATGGTATGTTGTTCATTGGATGAATGACCAATGGCATGTTGTTCATTAGATGAATGACAGATGACATGTTGTTCATTAGATGAATGACCAATGGCATGTTGTTCATTGGATGAATGACCAATGGAATGGTATTCATTAGATAAATGACCAATGACATGTTGTTCATTAGATGAATGACCAATGACATGTTGTTCATTAGATGAATGACCAATGACATGTTGTTCATTAGATGAATGACCAATGGCATGTTCATTAGATGAATGATCAATGGCATGTTGTTCATTGGATGAATGACCAATCACATGTTGTTCATTAGATGAATGACCAATGGCATGTTGTTCATTGGATGAATGACCAATGGAATGTTGTTCATTAGATGAATGACCAATGACATGTTGTTCATTAGATGAATGACCAATGACATGTTGTTCATTAGATGAATGACCAATGGCATGTTGTTCATTGGATGAATGACCAATGCCATGTTGTTCATTAGATGAATGACAAATGACATGTTGTTCATTAGATGAATTACCAATCACATGTTGTTCATTAGATGAATGACCAATGGCATGTTGTTTATTGGACGAATGACCAATGGAATGTTGTTCATTAGATGAATGACCAATGACATGTTGTTCATTAGATGATTGACCAATGACATGTTGTTCATTAGATGATTGACCAATGACATGTTGTTCATTAGATGAATGACCAATACCATGTTGTTCAGAATGTAGAATGTGATTACCAGTCTGTGTCTCAGCTTTAGAAAAGTCCCCACTCATTTGATGTCTGCTGTTTACTCTGTCTATTGATTGATGGACGCTTTGTAACGCCATTTTCTCGACATGTAAGTTTTGTGCTTCGTTTGTACCGGAATCATCTTTACTATGAAGAGCATTCGTCTCACCACGGATATCCCCATTCTGCGGATTGTTGTCTTTTCCAATCAACTCGACAGCTATTCTCTTACAAACATGGTTACGTGCCATTGCAATATTTTCATCTTCGAAAATCCTATCACATTTAGATTTACACGGGTAAAATTTAATGCAAAGTTTGTTACAGCGTACATTGTCTAAATCAATTTTGTTTACAAGGACTCTTGTTTGTTGTTGAAGCGTGTGCCATTTGTTGTGCTTTTGTAACTCGACACGATTTTCAAAACGAAGCCCACATGTCATGCATTGCGTATCTAGTCTTCTCATTTGAATTCCCTGATGAATGCCACAACAGATGGAAGCAACAAAACTATTTTCACATTTATATGGTTCATCTGCAATGCGTGGTCTCTTGTCGTCTTTTAGCCGCTTTTTACACCTTGACGTTGTATGTTGAGGTACATCAGTCCTTGCTAATTCTTCCCCATATTTTTCACACTCCCTTACGTCTTTGGTATGACTTTTCATATGGCCTCCAGTCCATCTTTCAGTGTAGTATTTCCCATACTCTTCACACAGAGCCATAGACGGTTTTGAACACACATCTTTAGCGAATTCGCCACATTCAGTAAAACTGTTCTTACATCTTTCACATTTCCACATATTCCCACAGTTACTTTTTACATGCTCCCCAATGGGGCTGCAGAACTGTCCACACTCTTTACACAGAATTGCAGACCGATTACACAGAAGTACATGACTATCTAGTTCATTCTGGCTGGTAAAATTGCTCCTACATTTAATGCACTTCCACAGGGGTCTACAATGGGTTTGCATATGATCTTTAACATGACCTTTACTGTAGAACTTATTGCATACTTTACATAGAAGCTTGATGCACATATCTTTATGAGTATCCAGCGTTTTGCGGTTTGTAAACACCATGTTGCACTTAATACACTCCCACAAAGATCCAGTATGTTTCTTGACATGCAAGTCCAGATAGTTGGCGGTACTGAATCTGTCTCCGCATAAGTGGCAAGGGAACTTGCCAATCAAATTCTTCAGGTTCACATGTACTTTGAGGTGCATTTTAATCTCCCTCATGGATGTAAAGTTCAGTCCACACTGCCCACATATTGTAGCTGTCTTTCGGATGTGTCGCCATGTTAGCAGTCACGTCTTCCAAACGTACATTGCCGTGATTGTGATAAACTGAAATAGAAACACATGGCTATTATTATATATCTGTCACCGTAACGCCATAAATTAACAGCGTGCCGTAATTTTGCGATATTTTATGGGGTATTTTCATCCCATCATATTAGAAACCAAGAATTCCAAATATGAAATAATTATGCGTGTAAGCAGACTCTCATAATAAAAACAAACATGGCTGCAGCGAGGGTTTGACTGGACTCCATACAA